TTTTCATTCTTCAATGAAATGTTGGTAAAACTATGGTGTATTATTGGAGGTCACGATGTTGTTACTTTGCAAAATACAGTAATAAAACAACAGTAATCCTATGTTGTTCCCTGCCCCAGTTTTTAAAAATGTTTTACTGCTTTATAATCTTATGTAGCTTCTTGTTAGTTGACAACCAAAGTCTTTACTTAGTGCTGTTTGACCTTGGGTTACATTAAATATACTCTTTTAAAAATTTATTGAGTACATTTTATTGTTTCTTTCCAAGTATCTAGTTATGGATTATTATGTTGGTGGGGATTTGCTTACTCTGCTCAGCAAATTTGAAGATAGATTGCCTGAAGACATGGCTCGATTTTACTTGGCTGAGATGGTGATAGCAATTGATTCCGTTCATCAGCTGCATTATGTACACAGGTGAGTAAGATGTTCTTTCATTGCTTCGTGATGTCTAGAAGCAGAGGTCTATTTACACCAGATTTATTGGGGACTAAGATACGTTTCTCATCAGTCAAAGTATTTATTCTGAGGTGGTTTTAATTGTTTTGCCTCTCCAAGGCACAGCACATCCCTGAATGTGGTACGCAGTAATGCGATGAACTAAGGTGAACAATTTGTATAAGATCACTGGTAATTTATGCTGTGTTCAATATAGGATAATATTCCTTATCACCTTCTTTATTTTTTTATTTGCCTTATTTTCTCCATTAGATTTTAAGCTCCTGGAGTTATAGACTAGTATTTTCCTGTTGTGCTCAGTGGATGTATTGTATTGTTCCTCTCTGGCGGTTTTCTTTACAAGACCTGGAGCGTTGTGGTTGTTGCAAGGTTTCCTTACTGGGTGTGGATTAATAGGTTGCTGCAGTGTACTCTCATCATCAAATCATATTTTAGGAACAGTTGTTGTTATCTGATATTTAGGCTAAATTATATTTAAATTTCAAAATTGGTTGCATCAGTTACTGTTGAATAGTGTCCACTGGCTTTTATTTTCTCAGTCAAATTCTTTACCTAGTCATTTCTTTCCTGTTCACCTCATTCCATAATGGATTTAGATAACTTAAAGTAAGAATGTGTACGATAAAGTGGAGGACTAAAATATGTGGAGGACTAGAGTTGTGAGATTGAAATTATATTTCAAAGTAAAGAGTCTAAAACAGGATAAAATAACGAATGAACAGACATTGTCAAGTTATGTTTTCATGTTTTTCATGCATACTTTTACTTCTTTTCTGGCATAGATAATTCATGTGAAAATGTCCAAATTTCAGATTAGGCTAAGAGCGTAAGGGTGCAGGCACACTAGCTTTTTGTTGAATACAATCTCTCTCTGAAGGCAAATTAAGCTGGTTTCATGGGACTTATTGGTGTATGTGTGCTCTCCTGTGTTTGTTTTAAAGTTAAGTACTGACTTGAACAAATTCTTGGAGTGGAATGTGTTTTTTGAAGTAATCTCTCCTTACCCTAGTTCAAAAATAAGACAAAAACTAAAAACAATTCACTCATTCATGGCTTTCTTCATAACTCCCGTGTTTCCCCAGTGGAATTTGTTCTATATTCAAGGTTTGTGATTGCAGTTTTATTGACCTCATCTTCTTACTGTTAACATTTTATAGATTATATTTAACTCTAAAAATGTACTGATGCATGCCCTAACTGGTTTGGCTCGGTGGATAGAGCATCGGCCTACAGACTGAAGGGCCCCAGGTTCGAGTCCAGTCAAGGGCATGTACCTTGGTTGCGGACACATCCCCAGTAAGAGGTGTGCAGGAGGCAGCTGGCTGATTTTCTAACTCTCTATCCCTCTCCCTTCCTCTCTGTAAAAAATCAATAAAATATATTTCTAAAAACAAATAAATAAATAAAAAAGTACTGATGCATTATAGGAAATGGATCCAACCTGTCTTAATAGGGTTTGTTGGGGGAAACCCACGGAATTCAGTTCTGGAGAGTTTTCCATCCCTTATCCCCTAAGCTTTTTATGAAGGATAGGTATGTGCTGGCCTCCACCAGGGCTTTGGGCTGATTCAGCTCTTTCAGTGTGGATTTGTGTTGTGATCCGGCAGGTATCCTCTTGGTAGATGTGAAATCATTACACTTTTACAGTGAGATAGAAATACTTCGGCATGAAGCTTACAGTGAGATAGAAATACTTCATGGCATGAAGCTAATATAAAAAATTCTCTTAGTCTCTCCCAGGCTGGAGTCCCATTTCAAAATTGTAATTTTTCTTACTGCTAATGGAGGAGGTAATTTTATTATAGTCTGAAATTAATAAAGAATAGATAACATTATAGTTGAAATTTGTTAGCTATAGGTGAACTCAGGCTGTGCACCATTATTGAAATTATGTTACATGAAGACAGTCACTATATTACAGTGCATTTGATATTTCAGTGACTGTGAGGATTTGGGGCCAACTTCAGAAATAGCGGGAACAATTCCAAAAGACCACCCTTACGTCTGACATCAATTGCAGATTTGGGCGGTCCCCCAAACCACCCTCAGTTTCCATAACTTGCTGGGTCGCACAGAACTTACTGAAAGCTGTGCTTCGAGTTACAGCCTGTTGATGGAAAGGGTGCAGATGGAACCCGCCAGGAGAAGCAGCGCACAGGGCAGAGCTCAGGAGAAGTACCAGGCGCACCCATGTGCGCAGGAGCGTGGAGTGTTGCCAACAGGAAGCACACTTGAGCTTTTGTTTCCAGAGTTCTGGGAGTCTCAGCATATTGCTTGCATGACTGACCATTAGTCTCTAGCCCTTCCCAGAGGTTGGGGTGGTACCTTTAGTTCCAGAAGCAAAACAGATACCACATGTCCCCTGTAAATTACATCTCTCATAAATCACATTGCTAGACTGCTTGGTGGCCAAGTCCCCAGGAAAACAAAGATACTTCTGTCTGGCCTGATGTTCCAGGAGCCTCAGGATCCGCTCCCATTGCCTGAGGGCAAAGGCCAGGCCTCTCGTTGGGTGAGATTAGTTTTCGATATACAGGACACCCATGGGCCTCTGGTGAGGGCTTTTTTTTTTTGTTAGGGAGAGCGGATGAGCGAGGGAGAGACAGAGAAACATCCACGTGAGAGAAATACATCAATTGGTTGCCTCCTGAATGCCCCCACCAGGGCTTGGGCCGAGGAGGAGCCTGCAACCGAGGTACGTGCCCTTGAACCAGAATCGAACCCGGCACCCTTTGGTCCACAAGCTGATGCTCTATCCACTGAGCAAAACCGGCTAGGGCTAGTGAGGCTTTCTTACAAAAAAATCATATTTGCCTGGCTAATCTACATTTCGTATAACATTGATATGATGGACACAACATCAGTGTGAATATGCCTGTCCCGTGGAGGAGGCAGCTTGCACTATTTGTTTCCAAGAGTTGTGTTAACTTTGGAATATGAAATTTGGATTTACCAAAGAAAAGTCAGGTGAATAAGTATGCATTTTGAAACAAGTTGATTTCAGTGAAGACAGGCTTGCCTAGATAAAATAACAGTTCACAGATGTATTTTAAAGCAATTTCAGAAGAATACAGTTTTATTATATCCACCTTTTCCATTCCAGGCATAATATTTACAATAATCATGCTCTGGTATTGACAGTCCGATGAAGTATTAAAGTAAGAACGACCCACAGAATATTGGCTTTTCACCATGGTCATTGTTTTGGAATGCTTTTTTATCCTTAATGCTATAAGAAAAAAATATATCATTATAAATATTTTGACTGAGAGTTTTAAAATAATACTGTTCCTTTTAAGCCAAATGTAATTTGCTTTTGATTGGGGACAAGGAAAATTACTGATTTTAAAAACTTCAGTGAATGATAATTGGTATGATTGGTATGATTCATATTCAAGTTAGGAAGAAACTTGAGTAATGTTTTTACATTGATAATGTAGAGATTTAATCTCTTCTAAACATTTCTCTTTCACTGTTTTCATTGATTTTCAAGGTTAGAATTAATGTTTCGCCCGAATTTCCCTTCTCCTTTTTATTTTATTTTTTTGTTAACCCTCGCCTGAGGATATTTTTCCATTGATTTCTAGAGAGAAGGGAAGGGAGGCAGCGGGACAGACAGAGAGAGAAACATTGATGTGAGAGGGACACATCTATTGGTTGCCTCCCACACGCACCCTGGGGATTGAGGCTGCAACGGAGGTAAATGCCCTTCACCAGAAGCGAACCAGAGACCCTTCACCCACAGGCCAACGCTCCATCCACAGCCAGTCGGGGCTTTTCTGCCCCTTTTGTTGACAATACTTGGTATCTGGTTGGCTGGCTGCCACCTTTACTTGAAAGATGTCATAGACTTGAGTGGTTCTGAATCCCAGAAGTTACTTTGCTGCTTATATCAGAAAGGGGTGTTTTGCTGGCCTGTTGTCCTGTTTATCCGTTGCTGTATAACGTGTTTTCTAGAAGCAGGCACAGAGATAGAATGTGTAATGCAAGGTGCATTAACACCTGTGGAAGGGTGATGGCAGAAGCAGGATTAGAAAGGGGGAGAAGCCAGATTGCATGCAGGCCAAACCTCAGTCAGCCCCGCTAGGCCTCCTGGAGAGTTCGTGGCTCATCAGAGCATCAGAGTTGTGCTCATTTAGCCAAATGGCGCGTCTTTACGTTTCTGTATCAGTCACTCAGTGGCTGTGGCTGTCCAAGAAGGCAGGCCTTGTGGTGGAGAGGCTCTCTGGGAGCCGTCTGCTGATAAGAGGACCAAGCCCTCCATCGAAGGAGAAGCAGCATGTCTGTGTCCACCGTAGGCCTGGAATGTAGTGACTAACAGAAGACAACAGTCACTCTTTGCTCACGAGTCTGCAGTTTGGACAGGACGAGGCAGGGACTGCTCTCTCTCTGCTCTTTAGCATGAGTTGTAGTGACTCACCTGGGATGGGAAGATCAACTATCAAGATGGCTCACTTGCCCTAACCAGTTTAGCTCAGTGGATAGAGCGTCGGCCTACGGACTGAAGATGGCTCACTCACAAAGGTGGTGTGGCTCATCAGGTCAGGCTTCAGCCAGGGAAGTAGGCCTGGGGCCTTTGTTCTTTTCACATGGGCCTAGCCAGGGCTGCTTGACAGTTTTTTGATTTTGGTTTTGGTTATTTTAGGATATTTTTTCCATTGATTTTTCAGAGAGTGGAAGCGAGGGAGAGAGGGGGAGAGAGAGAAACATCCATGTGCAAGAGACACATTGATTGGTTGCCTCCTGCAGGTGCCCTTACTAGGGCTGAGGATCGAACCTGCAATCCAGGTACGCGATCTTGACCAGGATTCGAACCTGAGACCCTTGGGCAGGGGGTGGGGGGAGGGTGGGTACTGTAACCAGTGAGCACATCAGCCAGGACTGCTTGAGTTTCTTAACAAAATGCTGACTAGGGTCTAAGAGCAAGTGTGTTGTCGATATGTAAGTGTAACCATCTT